GCACTTGTAATCCTCCTGCTTCAGTCTCCCAAGTGGGATTATGGGCATGTGCCACCTGCCTGGATGAGTTTGAAGCTTTTGTTTACATGTTTTATTTTTGAGATTTCTTTTTTTTTTTCTCTCTCTCAATAATATGCATTTATTTATTTACACATTTATTTTTTAGATTACTTTTTTTGGTTTTGAAGCTTTTGTGTGGAGTGCCCCTGAGGCCAGGAGGTGCCCGTCACTGCCCACTCTTTTTTTTTTTTTTTTCACCAGGGATCAAACTCAGGACTTTGCACTTACAAGGCAGGTGTGACACCACTGAGCTAAGTCCAACGCCCCCATTATCATCTTTTGTCAGTTCCTTTGGCTTCTCTGTTATCCTTTCTCTGGCAAAGTTCCAGTGCCCAGAGCCAGGTTAGGCTCTGTGACCCTGATGCTACAGGAATTGTTTCTACCCTGGCTATGTTGGGCCAGCCCTGGCCATTTGGAGACTTGGAAGTGGGACCCTTCTCAGGTGCCTTAGTGACTTAACACCTTATCCAGAGGGGACCTTTTCCTTGTCCCCAGGCCTGCTGTGGGATGGGCAAAGCCCCAGGCTCTCTGGCCTAGCTGCTCCTAACTCCAAGCCCTGGGGGAAGCACTATTCTCTGGAGCAAAGTCCCTTTCCCTACCCTGGAAAGGCATCCAGACATATAAACAAGGTGGGATACTCAGTGTTGTTACAAGGGCTGTGGCAGGACAGGAGGTCCCCCCAGGCTTGAGGCTGATATACCATGCAATAGGGAAAGGGCTGTGTATCTGCTGTCTGCTGCAAAGAATGGGTTCTGAGGGTGAGTAGGTGCTAAGACCCCATCTGCAGAGGAAGCCCTGGCTTAGCCTGCTGGAAAGGTTTGGGTTGTGACCTCTGTACATCCAGGTGCACACTGTCTTCAGTCAAACAACATATAAAATCCTCCCTGAAGAGTATAATGTCTAGATGGACTAGGATCCTGGGCAGGCCTTGAAAGCAGAGCCTGCCTTACTGTCACCTTGAACCATCAACAGCTAGCTTGGGAGTCAAATGGCAGGTGCTAAGCCCAGGGGAAGCTAGGCATTGCTTGAAGCTCCTTCCACCACTTGCCCCACAACTGCTCTCCCTTCCTGTTCTAGCTCAAGGAGGTGTTGCCTGACCCCTCTGAGGCCCTGAGCCAGGCTACCCCTGGGACTGTAAGTCCTGCTGCACGCCACCTCTGTGTTTGTGTTGCCCCGGGCCCTCCTTGCTTCTTGTCCTGTGTTTTCTGCTGGCTGAAATTGTGGCTACAGTGTGTGCAGCCAACCCTCCCTGAGGTCAGCAAATCTTCACCACTGTTACTATGGGCTGGGCTTTAGCAGGAGGGCCTCTTGCCTTCCCTCACCATCTTCCTTCCTGAGTTGAGTGTCCAGCAGTCCTGAACACAGCTAGGGTACCAGCTGGAGTCACTGAGCTGTGCTTCTGAATTGGCTGTAAATCAGGGAACCTAGAAGGCAGCCTTGGGGCTGAGTCTCCTTTTCCTCTGTCTTATAGAGCTCAGGCCCTGGGGCTTCCAGTGGGCCTGGTGGAGACCACAGTGAGCTTGTTGTCCGGATTGCCAGTTTGGAAGTGGAGAACCAGAACCTGCGAAGCGGTGAGTCTCTGGGTCTGATAGATGGGTTGGAACCCAAGCCCCTATCATCTGACCACTGTGCGCCTTGTATCCACAGTGGTGCAGGATCTGCAGCAGGCCATTTCTAGGCTGGAAGCCCGGCTGAGCACCCTGGAGAAGAGCTCACCCATCATCCATCGAGCCACAGCCCCACAGACCCAGGTGAGCACTTCATCTGATGTTGCAGAGGAATGTGGTCACCTAGCTTCCACCTCTTGTTGGCTCTCCCCAACCACAGTAAGGAATTAGGACCCATGAAGATTCAGTGATGCTGAGGTTGACCTCTGGGGCAGGGTTCTTTCCCTGGGGGCTTTTTGTGGGAACCATAGTTCCCACTTCTCTAGATAGTGGAAGGGAGAGGACTGGGTGGGTTTCAGCTTCCCCTCGCCTATGGCAGCACGTGTCTCCCATGCGCCAAGTGGAGCCCCCAACCAAGAAGGTGGCCACACCAGCAGAAGACGACGAGGACAATGACATTGACCTATTTGGCAGCGATGAGGAGGAAGACAAGGAGGCAGCCCAGTTGCGGGAGGAGAGGCTGAAGCAATATGCAGAAAAGAAGGCCAAGAAGCCCTCTCTGGTGGCAAAGTCCTCCATCCTCCTGGATGTCAAACCCGTGAGTTAGGGACAGCTCAGGCCTTGGGGAGGGCAGGAGTCACATAAGTTTCATGGGGTGGGACTTGCCATGTAGGCCACCCAGATGCTCAGCTTCCAATTCCCCTGCTTCCTAGATCCTAGTGGAAAATCAGGTTTAAAAATATTAAATTAGGGGCCAGGGATTTAGCTCATTGGTGCCTTGCCTGTCTTGCAAGCACAAGGTTCAGAGTTCACTCTCTAGTCTAGTACTGAAAAGAAAGAAAAATCCACTTACTAAAATTCTTATATTAGAGCCAGGGATTTAGCTCAGCGGTTCGGTGGCCTGCCTTGCAAGCGCAAGGACCTGAGTTCAATCCCCAGTACCCCCCCCATAAATAAATAAATAAAAATAAAATTCTTAAATTAGAGGCTAGGTGTGGCACATGCCTGTAATGCACTCAGGAGGTTGAGGCAGGAACATCACTGATTTTGAGGCCAGCCTGGGGTATATTAGTGAGACTCTGTCAAGAAAGACAGGTGGGGGGCGAGGAGAGAAAGGGCCGGTCAAGCTTAAGTTAGGAGCAGAAACTTGGCAGGACAGATGTCAATTTGGAATATTTTTGAGGCCCTTCAAGGAAGCATTATGTCTTTTCACTGGTCTGTGGGAAGGGTTTGCTCTGGTGTCCTGGAGGCCACTGAGGTGGCTCTGTCTCCCACCCCAACACCCTCCCTGCCACAGTGGGATGACGAGACCGATATGGCCAAGCTGGAGGCCTGTGTGCGCTCTGTCCAGTTGGATGGGCTGCTCTGGGGTGGCTCCAAGCTGGTCCCTGTGGGTTATGGCATCCGCAAGCTGCAGATCCAGTGTGTGGTAGAGGACGACAAAGTGGGCACCGACTTGCTGGAAGAGGAGATCACCAAGTTTGAGGAACATGTGAGTGGGCCATGTGGTATGAATCGGTGGCCAACCCTGGGGTCCCACTCCTGCACCTGCCACTTCATATCCTGGCCACACAGAACTAGAGGAGTGGGCCTTAGAGAAATCCTCCTCTGCTAACACCCTCTGCCTCTACCTCCACAGGTTCAGAGTGTGGACATTGCAGCTTTCAACAAGATCTGAAGCCAGGCATGCATGTGTGCAAGGGAGGCCCTGCCAAGATTAAAAACTCAGACTCCGCACTCTGTCTCCTGTCTTGTTATTGGGTAGGCAGTGCTCTGCCAGTTCCCAAGCCATTCCTATCTCACCCTTTACATCCAACTCTACACTGCCACTCCCACTGGGCAGTCTTGTGGATTAAGCTGTCCCACAGCCTTGCTTGCTTAGTCATGTTATCTCATTCACTGCATCTCCTGACTCTGTTCGTCTTCACTTTATGTTGCAGATGATGATAAGTTCATTTCAAGCTGTTTAGGCAGAAACAACCTCATGACTACAGAGGCTGCCATTTCTTCACTCTGTGCCTCTTGTCCCTGCTCCCAGCAGGTGTCCTGACCCTGCTGCAGTGATGATGTGGGGTCATATAGTCTACTCTCCTTGGCTCCAGAGGACCCTGCCCTGGCCTGCTGGATATCTGGACCCACTCTTGTTGGCCAGAATATGACCAGCCTTGCCCCAGCAACCCCATGTGGTCAGTGATTGTCAGTAGTGGTTCCTCTCCTAGACTATGAGTCTTGTGGCTGGTGTGATAGTGTATCTGGGTGAAATGGTGTCTGTTGGGGTCCTGTCAGAGCTGATATCCTCAGGGTCCCTAGTTACAAGACAATGGAATCCTGCCCTTTTTTTTTTTTTTTTTTTTTAAGCAAAACATTCATTGGTACACAGGGAATTTGCATGTGTGCCTGATAGATTCTCCCCTTCCCCTCAAGCCCTCCTCCCCTCCCTTTATGAAAAGCTTTGTTTCCTTTTTTCCTTCTAGTTTTGCTTTTTTTTCCCTTGTCCCCTTTCCTTTCTCCCTCCCCCCTCCCTTGTTCCCCTTCTCATTTGAACATTTTCTTCCCATTTCCCAGTATCTATTACACATTTTAGTCCCTCTTTCCACTTCTCACACCAGAAAAATAATTATTTATAAACGTGTCTCTATTTTAGAATATGGCCTCAGGATGCAGTCATTTAGCTAGAAATGTCTCATGCTTGTCCTTTATGGCATAGAGCAGCACTTTTTTTTTTTTTTTTTTTTTTTTAGCACTCTTGTTATTTTAAAAAGTCCTTATCCATTCAATAGGTTGACATTTACTCTCAGTTTTAGAAAGGGCTGGTGATATAATGCTCAGTGACAGCATTTATGTCATGTGAGGCTGAGTTCAATCTCCAGTACCAAAAAAGGTAAAGAATTTCCTGTGGGACCTAGTGTACAAGACACCCTGAAAGTAACGACCCTATAACACTAGCTGGGCTTTCAGCCATAAGATCTTTTGGGTTGAGTGCGGTTGGACATACCTGTAGTCCCATGTACTCAGGAAGCTTGAGGCAGGAAGATCACAAGTTCAAGGCCAACCTTGGCAATATTACTAGACCCTGTCTAATAAAGTGGTGCAGCTCAGTTTGAATGCCCACCGTTTCAGTCCCCAGTACTGCAAAAGAAAAAAGCAGCCTTTTTGTTGTCAACTAGGAGTGAGCAGATGCTCCCTATCTTGGACATGCCTCGCTGAGAAAGTTGGGGCATCAGCCAAGCTGCTGGGATCTCTAGAAGGCCAAGCCTGCTCTACCCTCTTAGCGCCTGGTGAATAATTGCCAGTCGTGAGCTGCAGCTTGCTGCCCTGCTACGGCGGTGTGGGGGGGAGTTAACAAGAGGGCCTACCTAGGCATTCAGTACCTGGCTTTGATAAAAGGGCTGGCCCTGCGGTGGACTGGGGCCTAGAACTGAGAACACTAGCAGGCCCATCTGGAATGTGCTGTTGCCACCCTGGCCCGTCCCACCTACCTTTGACCGAACGGGTTTCCCTGTCTTTGGGTGTTAACCTCAACAGGAAAACAGCTGCTATTGGTCTGGGCTTGTCATGTGGGACCACACCCTACAATGGCGGACGAGCGGGACCCCGAGGGGCGCGCGGCAGCGCGGCCGATGCTCACCGACCTGTACCAGGCCACCATGGCACTGGGCTACTGGCGCGCTGGCCGGGCGAGCGAACCCGCCGATTTCGAGCTCTTCTTCCGCCGCTGCCCGTTCGGTGGCGCCTTTGCCCTGGCTGCCGGCTTACGCGACTGCGTGCGTTTCCTGCTCACCTTCCGCCTGCAGGATGAAGGTAGCCTTGACGAACCCCAGGAGTCTCCCACGAGTCCCGTGTCCAGCTAGACCTACCTCTACAACTCTGATTAGACCCCCAACCCGATTAGTCTTCTGACGCATAGGACAGTACCCCGTGAGACGTTGCAACTCCGACCAGTCCAAGGAGAGCCCCGCGCCAAACGTGCATACCCTCCTCCCCTGCCTAACCAGACGAAGGTAGCCTTGACGAACCCCAGGAGTCTCCCACGAGTCCCGTGTCCAGCTAGACCTACCTCTACAACTCTGATTAGACCCCCAACCCGATTAGTCTTCTGACGCATAGGACAGTACCCCGTGAGACGTTGCAACTCCGACCAGTCCAAGGAGAGCCCCGCGCCAAACGTGCATACCCTCCTCCCCTGCCTAACCAGACACCACCTGGCCTCGGTGCTCCCCCCGGACACGGACCCAGCATTTTTCCAGCATCTTCGGTCTCTAGATTGCGCCGCAGTGACCTTGCGGGCCCTGCCCGAGGGCTCCCTTGCCTTCCCAGGAGTGAGTGCATGGCGCCGGTTGAGAGGGCAACAAAGCCAGCTGAGCGCGGGGATGGGGCTGGGGATAGCCTCTCCACTGGTGCCTCTGCTGCAGGTGTCAGGGGCTGCTTCTGGTCACCCTCTCCGCAGGTGCCTCTGCTGCAGGTGTCAGGGCCGCTTCTGCTCGTGCAGCTGCTGGAGACTCCGCTTCTCTGCCTGGTCAGCTATGCCAGGTGAGGCTCAGTGACTGGACTTGGGGGAACCCTCTGCACAGCTAACCAAAATGTACGGGGCAGAGGAGCAGTGAGCTGGAGCCCTGGAGCTAGCACTGCAAGTCTCAAGTAACTGCTGGCTTGTACAGCTTCTCACTAGTCACCCTGGGTCCCTTATCTCCTTGACACAGCCTGGTTGCCACCAACGCAGCTCGACTTCGTCTGATCGCAGGGCCTGATAAGCGACTGCTGGAGCTGGGCCTTCGAAGGGCTCAGGGCCCAGATGGGGGACTCACAGCCTCCACTTACAGCTACCTGGGTGGTGAGGGCCTAGGGGAGGCAAGGGCTGGGGAGGAAGACACCCCCACCCCCACCCCATTGCTGTCCCCACAACTGCACACACAATTCTTTCACCTAGGGTTCGACAGCAGTAGCAACGTACTTGCTGGGCAGCTGCGGGGTGTGCCGGTGGCTGGAACCCTGGCCCACTCGTTCATCACTTCATTTTCAGGCTGTGAGGTGCCTTCTGACCCAGTCAGTATCTTCTCAATCCTGCTCTACTCTGGAGGGTAGACCCCAAGGCTAACCCTGTTCCTTGATGGCGTGGGCTGGGTTCAGCCATGCATATAGGTAGATCCCACCCTGGACAGTTAGCTTCAGGGCCACCCTAGGAAGCTGGCACATAGGCAACATTACCTTTTTTCTTAGACCAGAGTATATTGGTCACTCCCAGGCATCACACTGCACACTGGGTCCATCCTTCACTGACCCCTTTCCACAGATGTTGGCTCCAGCTGTTGGTGAAAGTCCCAGGGTGGACCTGGCTGCCAGTGTAAAGTTGTGGTTGGAGCGTGTGTGTACCTACCTTGGGCTTGGGGTGCAGGAGCCGCACCCAGGGGAGCGGGCAGCTTTTGTGGCCTATGCTCTGGCCTTTCCCCGGGCTTTCCAGGGCCTGCTGGACTCCTACAGTGTGAGAAGGTGAGCCCCAGACTTTCCCCAGGGATGGGTTTGGCAGAGCAACAGCAGCCCCCAGCCTCTTATCTGTGCTTGCAGGAGTGGTCTTCCCAACTTCCTAGCAGTAGCTCTGGCACTGGGAGAGCTGGGCTACAGGGCAGTGGGCGTGAGGCTGGACAGTGGCGACCTGTTTCAGCAGGCTCAGGAGATTCGAGGGGTCTTTCGGACTGTTGCTGCCCAGTGAGTCACCCAGGGTGGGTGGGAGGGGCCTGCTAAGGAGACCCTGTTGGAAGCCAGGAGATAGGGCAGGAGCAGGGAGGTATGGTGTTCCTCCCCAAAGCCTGGAGCTTCAGGCTGGTTTCAGGGGCTACAGGGAAGGCCTTGAAAGGGAAGCAAGGGGTGGGACCACTGGGCCTAAGGATAGAACAAGTGTGGGTATGGCTGACAGGGAAGGGAGGCCAGGGTGAATCAGGCATGTCAGGGGACTCCCTAAATCCCATTGCATACAGATTCCAAATGGCCTGGCTGGAGTCAGTCCCCATCGCAGTCAGCAACAACATTGACGAAGAGGAGCTGGCCCGACTGGTCCAGGAGGTGGGGTGGAAGGGACAGGCAGGCCCAAGGTGCCTGGGAAGGTGCTGGGGCCCCTGCAGGTCCTTCTGGGCTCAGTGTCACTTCTCCTTCCAGGGCAGTGAGGTAGACATCATTGGCATTGGCACTAGTGTGGTCACCTGTCCCCAGCAGCCTTCATTGGGTTGTGTCTACAAGGTGAGAACAGTGTCTGGGCCCAGGTGGGGTGGGTTTGGAGGACTTTAAAGGGTGAGGGATAGGGTTTATCTATTCTAACACTTTTTCTGCAGCTTGTGTCTGTGGGTGGCCAGCCCCGAATGAAGCTGACTGAGGACCCTGACAAACAGACACTGCCAGGGAGCAAGGCTGTCTTCCGGCTTTTAGCCTCTGATGGTGAGCCCCTTTCTGTACCTCTCTTGTTGTCCTCCAAAGGCTCAGTTGACCTTCATGTTATTCTCACTTCCCCTACACACACAGGATCTCTGCTATTGGACCTGCTTCAGTTGGCAGAAGAGCCACCACCCCAGGCTGGGCAAGAGCTGAGGGTTTGGCCTCGAGGTTCCCAGGAACCCTGCACTGTGAGACCAGCCCAGGTGGAGCCGCTGCTGCAACTCTGGCTACAGCAAGGACAGGTGACCCACTCACACACATCATATTACCACACCTCCCCTTCAAACTTGATTAAGCCCTGGCCTGAGCCAGCCTCTCCACCTGCCTCCTCCTTTCCTCTCTTGCAGCTGTGTGAGCCACTTCCATCTCTGACAGAGTCCAGAGCCTTTGCCCAGTGGTCTCTGAGCCGCCTCAGCCCTGTACATCGGCAGCTGCAGAACCCTGTGCTGTACCAGGTAGGCACAGACCCTGGAGTGGGTTCCCCTCCATGCCCTCTGTCCCATAGCTGCTCACCAGTCTCTATCTTTCCTCCCTGCAGGTTGCACTCTCTGAGAAGCTTCAAAGCCTGGTGGTCAATCTGAGTAGCTGAGGTGCCCCATGAGAATTCCAGAGGAAGGGACTACCTGGAAATAACACATGTCATTTGCTGTCCCCACACCTTGTCATGTGTGTGTCCAGAGTGTGGACACTGAATTTACACCTGGGCCTTGGAAATTTGCCTCCCTGTCTCTGATCCAACTCCTCTCAACAGATCCTCAATATCTATTTCCTCCGTCAGAAATCTGGGTCCTACCTATCTTATGTGGAGGTCTAGATGGCAGGACACATTCAAAACAACAGTAGCCTTGGCTGATTGGGTGGATTAAACAGAAGTGGCATAAACTGTGTTGGCTTTCCCTGGGTAAGGTCCCTCTCCCACAGCAGGCTAAGACAGGTGGTGCTTCACTCACATAACTGAACCTTCAGGTTGGGGCCGACAACATTTCCTTGGGTTAGCACAACCACAAGAGAAAGTAAAGACTGGTTGGGTAGTGGGTCCCTCACCTGGGATATAGTGTCCTGCTCAAGTTGGGGACAGGACCTGGCGGAGGAACTTCTGAAAAGACAGACCTGTCAAAAAGCCCAATGTCCTGAGCTGGGGCTCCTTAAACCATACTTGACTCAGAAGTCCGAAAATAGCAGCACAGTCCTATTTTCCAGCCATTCCACAAGGAAACATCCCTTCCAAGAAGTTAGTGGTGATGTGCACTGAGATTTTACACCACAGTCCAGGGGGTGGGCATCACACCTGGGGCCCTGAAGGAATCTCACAAACAATTTCATCCTAGACTGAGTCCAACACTTTCTTTTCTTGCAATGTCAATTTACACAGCAGTCCCAAAACATGTTGAGGTATGATGAGGCAAAGAATCCACAAGAAGGCTAAG